TGGGCAAAAAAAAAAAAAAAAAAAAAAAAAAAAAAAGTTGAAAAATGTTTAAGTATATATTTATTACCCAATGTGTTAGCCGATGCTTCGTTGGCGCAATAGCCAGAGTATAAGTCTCGCGATTCGATGTGTATCGAAGGTCGTGAGTTCGATCCTCACACGAGATACTGCTTTTCATTTTTTTTTTTTTTCTTATTTCTTAAACAGAACTGCTTTTTTATTTTGCTTGCGGTAAAATAATTGAGAAGTCCTGCAAACGAATTCTGGCCTCAAGATCGATCCCATGAACGATTTTCAGGTCTCTCGGCTGACTGCCGAAACCTCATGAAGGCTTCATAGAATTTACATTACAAGGATCATACTTGAGGTAATTAAGCAGGAAAAATTGAAAGGTATCACTTCAAAAGTTTGCGTGTAATTATCTCTTACTCCCTGGACTTCACTGTCTGGTTTCCACTCCCCCACAAAATCGAACAGAAGTAGGTTTCCATTCCCCCGCAAATTTGAACAAAAGAAGTAGCGGAAAGTGTGAGAACGAGATGACGGCCGGTTTGTTTTGTCTCTCACCTGTATTGAGCGATCACTTAAAGCGATCACTTAAAGTTTAACTACTCAAAGTCGATGTTAACACTATTTTTGAGAGAGTGTTGGTGGTCAATTTACGGTATGAAGTGCCTTTTTTGTCGTTTTTTTAATATCCAGGTTTTGGCACTTTCGCCTCGCTATTCCCCATGGCTGACCTCATAATGCAGGTTTGACTGTACTTATTAGCGCGACTCAAAACCAAAGTAATAATCAGCCGAAGTTACCGCGGCATAAGGAAAAAGAGAGTTCGTTTTATCTTAGACCGTAGGTTAACAGTGTGGCGTGAGTCTTATGATCTGCATCACTGGTTTTCTTTTAGCTAGAGTTGTTCCTTGATATGTCTCGAACAATTCATAAGCCCAACTTATTATACAGTGAAAAAAAATGATGCAAGTCTTCTTTCTTACAAACTACCATGTATCCTAATTGGAAAGCTAATCGGTGCATCAAATTTGTGAGAAACAAAAACTCCGTATGAAAATGAGTGTATTGTTTAGTGAGCTGAATAACTTTGGTTGGTTTATAAATGAATGAAAATAGCTGCTTAAATTAAGCAGCCACTTGAGACTCAAAAACTGTCTTTGTCCCGTCCTGTCAAGCTTTCGCTGGACAGGCCACGTACTAATCAGAAATCTACATCCTGTACTTTGAGCGTTGAAAGAGATCTTTTCCCTGATAAATATGATGCAACTGTTTTTCAGCCGACTGAAAACTACGATTCGAGGTGGTACTTGAAGCACTGTTGCACTGGCTAGACAGCGCTGACCTTGATGGAAAATAACGACCTCCTTCGGATTGCAGGTCTTCATTGGCCCCCATAGCTACGACACAGATCTTTGGCACCATCGGCTCGTCGGGTTTCTTTGTAGTCCTCTCCGGGCCGGCACCGAAATGAAAAGAAGAGTCGGGGGACATTTGCTCCGCATAAATGGCTATTATTTTAGTGAGAAAAGACACTGATGGGGAATTAAAGACACTGAAATGCAAATACCAGCTGTACTCGTCGTCCACAGCAGCATTCTCCGAAGTTTTTTGCGAAGGGTACGAACGATCATGATTGCATGTTATGGAAATTTCTTTCGATTTCCGTCCAACAACAGAATTTGGCGGATGCAACTTTGTGTTGATATTTAGACTTCGCCGAATTGTGTCCGCTCGAACGGACGTAGCATTTGACACTGTATGTATCACCTGGCACGTTTGTTCTTTAGAATTTGCGATTGCTTGTCTTTCAATAAAAGATTTTTTAGTGTCAAACGGCGGCGCGAAAGGCGAGTGACGTTCAGGAACTGATTGGAAATATCAAACACACGTAAAAATTCTCGTCATTTTATGGCTCTTCTCAGGGCTGGAAAACCTTGCAAAACACCGCACTTTCAATAATAAAGAATGTTGCAGTAAGATGAATTAAATGTAGGTTTTATGACTGCAAGACTTAGTGCAAAACTTCATTATTTGAGTTTAGCTGGTGTTTACAGGTTGGAAAAAAAATATATGTATAGATAAATATTGCCGCCATAACTAGACTTGAGAGCACTCCTACTCGCTATTAAATTGCATGTTTGTCGAAGAGTGCTGAAACATTGACATTAGCTGACGTTGAATCGATGGAGTCGGAGTTCTTAAATTTGCGTTGTATTTTGAGCTAAAAAACCTCCCAGAAAGGGAGTTAAAAAAGACTTCATTGAGGAACTCGAAAAAAGTGTTGAAGACAAAAGTAGTCTTAAATACAAGCATGTCAACGCAGTTTGCACGACATACGTGGCAAATAATTGGCTTGAAAAAAGCGATGTTGTTGAGGACGAGAATTAATTGACGGAGTTTACTCGAAACAATAACTGTCAGATTCTGAAGCATTTTCACTGAGAAACACGCGCAGCGTGGAGAGAAGAACTTGAACCATCTACACTGAACAACAATCAACGGGGCGAGTTTGCTGGGAATAAAAAAAAATTTGGAAATCATTCCGACAGAAGTTTTAAACACGACCAGATCGCAGTCCGCAGAATTCCTTGAGTTCCAGTGCTGGTGGTATTTTTCTTCAACTCTGATTCCTCCAGCTGAAAGTTTTAAAAACTAATGAGACGAACTGATTTGAAACCTGAAAATAATTTGCATTTTTTAGCTTTCTGTGTGTTCGTTTCCACGTGATGAGGTTTGTAAAACAGTTCTTATCGGCATAAAAGGTGATAGTCTTATTTTTCAACCACAAGTTATCACTTTGTTCGTTGTGTATTGTAACACTCAATCTGAAAATATCTTCCTCATGTGCTTGCGACCCTTGTCATCTTTTCGCGCCGTTTGTTGACTCGTACTATTCTTCTCACGGCCACTCCATAAATGCCTGACGTATTTCATCGCCGTAACTTCAAAATAACATCACTGGAGATTTTACTGAATTTAGAAAGAGTGAATCACTAGACGTACCTTCATGGTACGCTTCGGCACCAAGTCAGGCTCGTTTGTTATCGCCAGGGGTATATTGGCTCGCCTGCGTACCAAAATGGTACGATTAGGTGAGAACTGGGTAAAATATCTATTAGATCCCGGAAGAAAGACCACGTGGATGATTGTCGCGAGCGATGGCGCTGGCAAGAAGAGCGAGAGTTTTCAACAGGCTGTATTTTAGTACAAAGCAAAAAGGCGAAAAGGTTTAAGAACTTCAGTGCCTTCAGAGGATGAAGTCCAACATCATATCACAATCTGCCGCTTCAATTAAAAAATGGTCGAAAGTAAGAGTGAGGATTCTGACACAACTGCAAAGAGCGCTGAGGTGAGTCTGTATGTTTTATCATTTGATTTCATCCTGCGATACGATCCTTTAAAAGTTTCAGTACTCTTACTTTAAAAATCTTGCTCGTGCTAAACAGAGAGAAAGCTCTTCGTGGGTAAACAAACCATGCCTTCCTCGAGAGGTCGATTATCGTCGTGGACAAACTCGTAAGAAATACACCATTTGCATGTTAGCTGTTAGTTCTATATGGCCATCGTGATAAAAACCAAGAGTGATTGTGAACAAGGAGCGTTTCCTACTATTTAATACGCAGTCAGGTTTGGTGAATTTAATTTTAAAAGTGTTGCATTAATATGGCCAACTTTAATTACAGGAAAATGAAAGTGGGAAGGGAGCATGCCTGTATGTGTCCTCAGCAAAAAGTTCAGATTCAACAACAATCATCATCAAGAAGCTGGAGGCCATAAGGATTTCCTGTTAACATTAGGAATCAAGCATTGCATCGGCTTCACAGTTATGTGCCTCCATGAGGATGGCTCTTATTGTGTTGGAAGACTGTGAAGAAAACAATTTCATTGAGACTATCAAGTAAGTATCCCCTTTGTTTGTAAGTCTTTCCACTCTTAAAGACTTCATTGTGAGTGGTCAAATAAAGTTCAATTAAATGCTTGATTATAAACACAAAAAAAAATTAGATACTTCTGATAGGCTGAAAACAAGTGCATTTTTCACACAGCACAAGTGCAAAGTTGTAACACAACTGCATATTATAAATAGTATGCTGTTAAAATTATGGAAAAGAGCTACACATGTACAAATTGCACTTGCCTTATGCACTCTTGCAATTATGTTGTCTTTGAAAAATTTACTTGTGCTTATTATCACCAAATTGTTTTGAAAAGTTATTACCTGAACAGGATTCCTTTAAAATGTTGTATGGATTACATGCAACTGCATGTCTTTAGCATTGCGAATATTTCACATTGTGGATTGTGGACAATAAGTGACAATATAAACCAAAGGGTAATTTTCACTGGCTTTTTGAAGCTTTTAATCATAAATTCTCTCTGAACATTTTGCTCTCAATAACTTTTCCATAGTTTCTCGATTATAAGGCGAACTTGGTTCTAAGATGCACCTCAAACTTAGTAACTTAGTCAAGCCAAGTTCCCAGACTGAAAATTACATGAAAATACTTGGTTATAAGATGCACCAAAAGGATGAGAGTTAACAAAAGGATTTAATGGAACTGAGAACAATTTTTCCTACACAACTGGCATGCAAACACTTTTGTTAAAATGTAAATAAAAGTGAAAAAGTCACACATTTAATGATCTACGTAAAAACCAAGGCTAAAATTTCACACCTGATTATGAATATTCAATGATCCTGATTTCATTCTATTAACCCTTTAACTCCCAGATCCAATTTGTAATTCTCCTTACCATCAACCATACAATTCTTACAATGTTCATTCAGAGAATTTTGTTTTGGATCAAGTAATTATCCCCAAATTGATCTTTTCCTTTAATCTCATCACTTATCTAGTTGCTATTATATAAATATTTTAAGGAGAAATTCTGTCTTGGTCACCCATGGGAGTTAAAGGGTTAAACATCAACCAACTGATTTAAAACTCAGTTGCAAAACTAACTGATACGTTCTCATCCTAAACAGTCAA